CCAGGATGGTCTCAATCTCCTGACCTCGTGATCCGCCCGTCTCGGCCTCCCAAAGTGCTGGGATTACAGGCTTGAGCCACCGCGCCCGGCCCCAGAGTCCACACTTTGAAAACCACTGCCCTGGGGTGTCACAAAGCTATGGTTTGTAATCACTGAATTAGCTTAGGTATTTGTAAAAAGAATACACATTTAAGAGATCATCCAAATATGTAGTTACATAATCCATTAACCACTCTGTGTCAGACTGGTGAGCAAACTATAGACAGTCACTGTTTTCAGAACAAGGAGGATGTAACAAATCACAATTGGAATCTGGGAAGATGTTAGCTGGTCCTGATTTCAAGGTCATTTACTCAAAGCACAGTTCTGAACTCCCTGCTACAGAATTTGCAGCCAGCACTGAACTGGAGGCCAGAACATAGGCTGCGATCCCCTCACCCATTCAACAGTTGTTCTTAACACTGGCTCTGGGTCTCGCACTGGAGAAACCGTCCACAAGTCAGATGCTACCCCTGCTCTGATGGAGTTCACATTCTTTGAAGGAGAAAGGCAGTAACAAGTACACAAATAAACAGGATAACTTCAGATGGTCATAGCAGCTCTGAAGGAAGTAACAATAGAATAATGGTTTGGAGTGGGGCCTAGGGTGCTACTTTAGATGGGTGACTGAAGAGGAACTCTTTGAAAAGGTGACATTTAAGCTGGTACCTAATGGGTAAGAATGAGCCAGCTTTTGAAAAGGGATGAAAAGGGTTTCAGGCAGAGACTGGTAGGTCCAAAGGTCTTGTGGAGAGACCAAGGTTGGCATGTTCTAGGAACTGAAAGGCCACTGTTGCCAGTGAGCACCTGTAGGAAGAATGTAGGAAGAATTTAGAGAGGGCAGCAGAAATTTAAATGTTTTTCTTAGTGGGAATGGAATCTACTGGAGAACTTTGAGCAAGAAAGTGATGTGATCTGATCAACATTTTAAAAAGATCACCTTGGTTATTGTGTCGAGAATGGACTGCAGTAAAAATGAAATCAGAGAGCCCTGGGAGGAGGCTGCTGTTAGCACGGAGCTTTGTTTAATCAAGTGAGATTGGAAAGCACTTTGCAATTTATAACATTGTGGAAATATTAGCAGCTATTGCAATACTAGTTCTTTCTGACTTAAGCATTCATGTCTGGTTCGGAATTGCACATAGGCCACACAACTATAATCCCAGCACTTTGGGAGGCTGAGATGGGAGGATTGCTTGAGCCCAGGAGTTCAAGACTAGCCTGGGCAACATGGTGAAACCCTGTCTCTAC